ATTATTTCAGTCGTTCTTAATGTATCAAGCGTCTATGTGCAAAGAAAAGCCAACAACTATGGTTAAATGAAGATATAGCCTAAAGATGCTTTGCGGGATTTACGGCATAACCAGGTTTCATTCGCCTGGGCCTCTGGGCAGTTGCCCCCCCCCCCCCGATTGTCACAGACTGATATACGAGATTCGAGTTGCACCGTGTTCGAAAACGAAATTCAAAACCATACTGAGGGTAATTTGATACGTGTATTGAAAGATCAAGGTGAAAGATCAAGGTCGGTTGTCAAAACGAGAAGCCTGGGAGAGTAATTATATGTGCTGACTTGGCAACTTCTATGCTCACGTGTTGTTTCAAACACGTTTTGTAATTCTATAAAAGTAGCATCAGGAGAAATGTTCTTAAAACGCCACATTCCGTAATGATTATGGTAAAAGATAACGTGTAATATAAGCTTCTTATTTCCTGTGTATTTCACAAACCTTTTTTAACAGATTTGTTAGTATGATATGTAGATGAGTTATTTTGGATGCAATTAAAAAGTTCAAAAGTCAAGAGCTGTTATGGGAATCTTAAAAATCAACTACGTCTTCGCTAAGAAACATCAGCGTTTTTTAGCTCTGGTTTTGGTTTTGGGAGAAAAAATGTCAAATAGTATAATCACGTTAATATTCATGGTGATTTGATAGTACAAATATAGTTATATAATGATAAGCAAGTTCTGATCTTTTGAACAGTGTGAGAACAACTGCTGTCAGTTTCCCGGTATTTTTGTGTAATTACAACACTAAAAACCGGATCACGATTCCCCACGGTGGATTGGTTGGATTTGGATTCCGCGCAAAGTTACATGAAGACTATCTGCGCTAGCCATCCCTGATTTAGCATTGAAAGACTAGAGGGAAGACAGTTAGTCAGCAACATCCACCGCCAACCCTTGGGCTACTCTTTTGCCAATAAATAGTAGGATTGACCGTCACATTATAATGGTCCCAAGACTAATAGGACGAGCATGTTCGGTGACGGGGATTGAACCTGTGAGTCTAAAATTGTGAGTAGAGCACTGTAACCACCAGGCCATGCCCAGCATCCCCGCGGCGGACAGAACGTAGATAGTCCATTGTACAGCTTTTCTCTAAAAACAAACAAATATTACCAAATCTGAGCCGATTGTTTTTTCTCTTGGAAAGAAAATTATAACATTTATACAATCGGACGGAAACAGATAAGTGGCAATAGATACTGGATTAATTTTTAGGCCTTTTCTGTATGGGCAGCTAACTTTGATCACAAGTTCTGATAACCAAGAGTGATTATGTATTTAACCAAATCCAATAACTGAGGCATTGACTGTTGGTATAAGCAAATACTAACGAGGATTTCATACTCAAAAAATACCTGTCTAATCTCAAGGTGAGCTTCTGTTTATTACTGAGAAAATTGGAGAAGAGAGAAGATAATAGCTAATTATTTTAATTATAGCTTCTACAACTTGTAACAAGTCTCCGACTTTCATTTATATCAGCTGCAGAACGGTACTTATGGCAAGATTTAATTAATTAACAGCAATTAAATGCTTGATCCTTGTTAAGGAAGATACTCGGAGTATGATATACTAGTAGAAACCCGCCATTTTACAATAGAACACATAAAATAAACTATCCAGCCAAATGAAACATTATTTGTAGCATTCTCAGACAGCATATAGCAGAAGAGATCTTTCAGGAAATATCAAAAACATAATTGTAAAAGTTTTTAAAGAAAAACGATAATTATTACAATAACAACCAAAACTGAATAATGCGTTACAAAACAACGAGTAAACTATTATGTTAAGATTAAAATAAACAAAGTTATAATCAAGTCAAGTTGAAACTGATAAGTAAGAGTTAATACACCATTTGTTGAATAATAGAAACTTAGTATCACATATACATGCTTAATATTATGTACAGGAGCTGTAGAACGAAAATGGCCTATACAGTAGCATTACTTATTGTTGTTGTTAAAGGCACCCCAGAGAGGCCATTGGTTCATTTTTAGTGTTCATCTTAGTGGCTTGTCTAACTTAAAATGGCCGTGGTTGAGCAGCCAGACTTGCCTTGAATATCTATGAGTCTTCACTACCAATAAACCTTCCTAGTCGGAAGGACAAATACGGCTGTTCAAGTATGATAACCAAACACATCGCTTTGCGGCTGGCCTCGAACAGTAAGTAACTTTAACGTACAAGTTCTACCATTCCACTAACAAGGGATGGAGATGTGTGTGTGTTTGTGGTGGGGGGTGGGAGTAGAAATGAATATATATTGCACTACAAAGTTGATGCAGCAGGTTTGTCAGAGATTACAAAAATGTGGACTAAAGTGTGTGTATTTGGAACGAGCACATGCAGTTAAAATTTAGAATACACCTGAGAGAAAATAAATAATTGGTATTTATGTTGATATAGGCTGCCATCAATTCTCGAAATTGTTAAACATATAATATTGTTTTTTCACCATTTTTTATTTACCAAGGACATTAATTCTTGAAATGTTTTTACCCTTACCAAGGATACTAGTTCTTTAAATGTTTTTAACATTAACAAGCATATTAGTTCTTTACATGTTTTTAACCATAACAAGGATGTTAGTTCTGTTACGTATCTGCTTGTTTGTTAATTTCCCGGTATAAATTCTTCCCGAGGAACTCCAGCGATACAAGACCTTTCTTAAATAAAACGAGTTTATTCTTTCTCGTTACAAACTTTGTAATACACTTAATTTCCACAGTCACTTTAACTTAAACACACGCTATAATTCACAATGATTCACGCCCTTTACTTACGGTGCCTACTGCTCGCTTGAATCAATTATCTATATCTAAATCTGTCTATCTGCAATTATATTTCTACGTTATTTGCCGGGCTTACATACTAAAATAGAGGGCGCCTAGAAAAGACTAAAGTTGCCAGGAACAGTCATGATCCTTCTAGAAACTCCAGCGCGCATGCTTCCAGAGTCACGTGACTTCCGCTGTCGTAACAGTTCTTTAAATGTTTTTAACCAAACAGACAAGAATAATTGAACGGTAAAATATCGTTTAAAATGTTAACTAACATTGTAAGAATGTTGATTGCTAAGCCATAGATCAAGAATACCGGTTGTTAAACATAAAGATAAATTAGATGTTTAAATAATTTGTTGTTCGGGTTATAAAAGCATGCCAAATTTTTCGAAAAGACTCCAAGTATTAAAGGAACAGAGTTAACGTTAGATATGAGATAAATTACTAAAGCTGCCAGAAAAAGTGATTCACCGAAGGACTAGTGAATTATTAAGAAGATCCAACATTACTAGAACTATGCAGGCGACTACTTGTTCCGTAACCAGAATGTTATATAATTAATAGAACTTCCAGTGCGCATAATTAAATCTGCTAAGAACGACACATTACTAAGAAGTCAAGTATTTATTTTATTAATATTTATTGTTTATATTTGCCTTTGTCTGGATTTAGCAATGAAAACAGGTAGCGCATAATGGAAAACGAATAATTATTTAAAGCAAATGACAGATTTAATGGATATCATATACTTCGGTGACGTCTTATTTTACATAGCTTGATTTTCTTCGTTACTAAAAGTTTAAATTCGAAAGTTACTGGTTATTAAAATAATGTGTACTAGAAAAGAAATTAATCTGCCTACACCTCTGATTCTCAAGGCTTATAATTTCAGAAGCATGTAACAGTTAATTTGAAAGCACCTACAGGACTTTAGTTGTCCATTTGATGTAACAGTTAACTTTAATGCACCTATAGGGTATTAGCAGTCTACGTGATGTAACAATTAGTTGTAGTGCATCCATAGGGTATTAGCTGTCCACTTGATGTAACAATTAATTTTAATGCATCTATAGTGTATTAGCTGTCCACTTGACGTATCACTTAATTTTAACAGACCTATAGGGAATTAGCTGTCCATTTAACGTAATGGTTAATCTTAAAACGTCTATACGGCATTAGCTGTCCAGAGTAACAATTAATTTTAATACACCTATAAGGCATTAGTTGTCCACTTGACGTAATAGTTAATTTTGTAACGACAGTGTAAGTCATGTGACGCTGGGAGCATGGCGTTAGAGTTTCTCGAAGGATCTTGAATTTGCCCGCAAGCTCGAGTGTGATCTAAATGCCCTCTTTATTATTTTAT